CATATTAATTAATTGGCGGCGCCAGAGAGGGGCTTTGTTTAGGGACACTCAAATCATCGTGAATGCGCTTCCTTTTTCTTGCTTATTATCTGTTATCTAACCGACTCACGTCACGTTGGCCGTCTTTACATAATGGAATCGAGCTGGTCTCAGCGCATAATAAATTTATCTAATAGGACAGCGGCTATTTTCAATCAAAGCGAGTGACACTCGCTCTTTCTTTCTCCCTTTCTCCTCTCTCCCGAGTAGGTGAACAGAGTTGCATTACAGTTACGGCCCGGGAGTAGTGTAACGTTACGTTTTTCGCGTGTATTATCGCGAGAGAGCGTTTCAGCACAGAGCGGTGTAAAAGAGCGAGATATCGATAACGATGGACAAATCCGCGTTAATCTCCGACTCTTCTTCGTTCCTCTCCCGCGCGTAAAGTGTTTTATCGCTTGAAGGTTGCGGCTTTCTTTCTCTCCCTCTTCCCTCTTTCGTCTCCTTTCTTTCGGTGAACACTGCAAAAAAGCGAGCCGGTACTTCGTAGCTCCATTAAATCTCGCGCTTCACTTAAGCGCGCGCACGCTTATCTCGTCTCTTCCGGCCGTCGACTGTTTGCGGAACAAAGCGCGACGACGAGTTGCGAGAAAGCACGGTGGGCGCGCGAAAGACGTCAGTAGGGAATTCCAGATGTAATTACCCGCGCTTACCACAGCGAGACAACTTTCTCGCCTTTTATTCAATGTCTGCCGCAAGCTTTTAACGGCAGTAAGCGAGTCATCCTTGTCGAAACACAATGAGAAAAAGACTGGTGATTATTACTACGCATTTAGTTACAGAATTTCAGTTACAGAGTTACAGAAAAATTTCGACACTAATATTAAACTAACTAATATCAATTTAAAAAAATGTGACCACAATAACTAAATACATAGTGGATTTCATGTACGAAGAACTTTTAATCACAGTCAAGTGGACTAAAGATTTTAACAATAGTTTGATCAAATATTTGACATTTGTTGATTTGACAAGTAGTTGATAATTGCTATCGGATATTTGGTATTATAAAATCGTTCAATTTTGTTTGACAAAATATTTGGTAACTATTAATATTTATCTTATTAAAATGGTGAAATATTTGGTGATTATCAAGTATTTTACTATATATTACTTATATCTATTTTAATATACATATATTAAACGTATTTTAATATATATCATCTGTGTACCTATTTTAATTGATTATTGTTATGTTATTTTTAATATTTGCTAGTAAATATTATCACGTTTTTTGAAAGTTATAAAGTAAAGTAGTGAGTCTGAGAAAGGATGGATGACCGCTACAAAATCGAATGAAACCGTGGACAAAATTTTACGTATAAAGCGACAAAAAACATTGATACAAAAAATAAAAAATATAGATGTTTTAAAATAGCTTAAATAGTACAATGAGATTTTTTAAAATAAAATAAAAGAATTACCTAAAATAATTTTCATCTCGAGCACGAGCACAAGCCTTAGTAATAGTTAGCAAATATCTCATTTTCTGCTGCCAAGATTTGGTATTAACTTCCATAATTTAATTTGATGACCTAAATGTATATTTATGTAACTGAATCATGATTCTGAGAGAATTATAGACTTGCTTTATATAACTTCATTATTTTCTAATTATCGCTTTATGTCTGGCTTGCATTATTTCACCGAATAATTTAGTAACAACTACTAAGTTTTAGTACTTGTGTTAAAATTCTCCTTTCAGTGTAGTTGAAATACGAGACCCCGGGATTTGTCGAAGATTTTTTCGCTGGTGGAGTGGGCGGCTGTCACCGATGATAAGCCCGTCACCAGCGGGGAAGTCGTCTCATGGGGCTGAAAATATTCTGCGACGATTCCTTCAACAGTATTAGAGACAGTAATGTCATCTAATAGCAAAAAAGGATTTTATAACAAGTACTATAATTTAGTAATTGTTATTAAATCGCTTTGGCAAATATTGCGGTCAAACGTGCGATGATAATTAAGAAATAATTTAGTTATATATATTTAATATGTAATCCTTAGAAATTTTGTTGCTTGAACTATACATTTAGATCGTGCGTAAAATTAGATTTTGGAAATTGATAACAAATCTTTCTAGCAGTAGAAAATGAGACATTTGGTAATTATTAGTGAAAGCTTGTGTTCGTGATGAAAATTGTTTTAGGTAATTTTTTAATTTTATTTAAGCAACTCATCGTACTGTTTGAATTATTTTAAGACATGTGATATTTTATTTTTCACCAAGGCTTTTTTCGCTTCATATGTGAAAAGTTCTGTCCATTCGGTTTCATTTGGTTTCATAGCGACCATTTATCTTGTTTCAGTAATAAAGGTGACATTGTCGTAAAGGTATAACTTTTAAGTAAAAGAAAAAAATATGTTATCCCTATATATATAAATAAATATTTATAAATACACACACATAAAAAGTTATTAAGTTGTAAGTATATAAAGTTGTAAGTAAAATCGTGCAATGTGATTACCCCTCCCATATCTCTAGGATTGATTGTTACACATCTTTCATGTAAAGAAAACGAGACAAATTATTTCTGTTTTAAGATAAACCGAAATAATGGGGGTTTTGGGATTTTAATTAAAATATATATTTAAAATTGGGACTCAAGGATCGGTCTATGTATGGAAGGTTGATTCTCCGCGTACGATAATCGAAGAGAAAATTTCGATACGTGCGTTTGACATACTGGACATTTTTATCCTCCCACAATCATATTAATATTAAAGTTATATTAGTATTTAATAGCACTAAGACATCCGTGCTAGCTCCTTATGTGCCATTAATATTTCACTATTAGTTATTTCTGTTTTAAGATTTTAAGTGTTTCTTTAAAGTTAATGATATTTTATATAATTAAATACAATATACAATTATTAAATTAAAAAGAAAATAATTCTCATGAACTTTATAAAAATAACTTTAAGCTGTAGGACTTTACGCAGACTCATTGTTGTGACTCATGTAACACAATACATCATTGTATATGCCTCCATGCTCTTACACGTGCAGAATTTGCTAAGTCACGTGATAGCTACATGACGGATTCTCAACGTGTGATAACTAATCTCGCTTAATTTGAGTCAATTGAACCCGAACGGTCATTTAGAATAAAAGAGATTATATAATTATAAATTATGTAGCAGCAACTGTTAATTAAATAGAGGAAAAATTAGCTAAATCCATAACATTTCTTACAACTAAGAGAGATTATTGTCAGAAATTCCAAAATTAACAAATCAATAAAAATAAAGACAAGAAAAAATTTGCTTATCGCGTCCAGTTTTGAAAAAGTATTTGTAAAAGCGCGTGACATATGATGTGTCACAATTTCGTCTTATAATTTCGTGCATCTAGCTAACATAATACAAGCAACATATAATATAGTCAAGAATATACTCTTTCATTTATTACATAAAATCACACCCAGTAAGCAAGAAACATTAATGTTCAGAAACGTTGACTTCATGTGTATTGTTTGGATATTTTTTAATAATATTACATTTATATTTTTCACATATGTTATTTTATGATATAATTTTTCTGAATGTTGTTTAAACGTTTTAAAAACATTACAAAAAATATATTTTTCAAATGTTACTTTAACATTTATTTGAGATTAATGTAATATCTTAAAAATATTTCTGCCGATTAAAACGTTATGGCAACCCTATTTCAACATTATTGAAACTTCTAAATCGCAAAGTATGTTCATAATGATACAATATTAAACACTACATATTTAACAATATTATATTTCTTCAATATCATTGTAGCAACGTTGTATTGATGATTTCTTGCTTACTGGGCACTTTGTGACAATTCACATCCATGTGACTTCTAGACTCGGTAGATAGGCACAGCAACTTTTAATGTTTGTTCATATCTATTTGATTTGAAATCATCTAAAGTTTTCTTCTAACTATAGATTATGTGGATGTAGCAACCATTAAGTTTTCTCCGTATACGAAAATCTTTCCACTATGTGAAAATTAATCCACTATGATTAAAAGTCCTTCGTATATCAGATCTATTGCCTAGTTGGTTGTTATTTCATCATATTTGATATTAGTTAATAGATATTTACTTAAAAATTCTGTCACGAAATACTTCGATAATAATTATTACTATCCTTTCTTGCCAGTGTATCATTCCAGGGTTATTCGCCGGTCGCGAGTCCTGCTTTTTACGGAAATACCTTTAATAGCGCCTTAATAATGCATTATAACATCCGAGAGCGGTTATATTAGACACGTTCATTATTTACAGGCCTGCAGTCGCGATCGATAGGTCCGCTTTTTCATTATTAACGACACACGCCTGAGAAATGTTCGCAAGGCCTATGCGTGACCGGTGTGATAATTCCAGGATAAACGCAAGCAAGAACGAGCGCGGAGTCTGCGCGAGTGATCGACGATTCTTTAATCACGTGTCATCGACGTTTAATAAATGTCGGAATACGATGATTTATGCCTCGCAGGGGGAGGGAAGAAAGGCAGAAGGAACACAAGCGCGGGGTGCGTAAATTCGCGCGGAGTTCTGTGCAAAAGGCGCCGGCGATCGGGAGGGTGAGAGAGGACGAGGGAGAGGGATTTGACGTTACGAGTTCGCGAAAATGTCGAATCCAGTCGATACGCGATAGGAAAAGTGCAAACGAATGTCGCGTCGCTGCGCCGTCGTGGCCGTTCGCGATGAAACCGTGAACGAAGAAGCGTAACCGATACATATCAAACATAGCCGAGCGCGCGGGGCTGCTTGAATAATGTATGAGAGCGAGCGATGCGCGAACCGAGAGGCATTTTCAGCGCCACTGGCCTTTACTCGCTTTTTTCCTCTTTCCTTTCTCCTCCCTCCTTCCTTTCTACGAGATGCACACGTGTGTCTGTTTCTCATTGCTGCCGTGCGCGGAAGCAACGCACATTTTTCACGCAAATCCACCCATTGGAATAATATCGCTCTCGGCGATACCTCCCCCGTCGAGAGAATTTTCCACTGAGAACACCCTCCGCCGGGAATGTCCCGGAGGGACATCGGCGAATCGTCGATAAAATAAGCGATTCCCATAATGACACAATGACAGTCCGCGCTAGATCGCGCCAGATCTCACGTCACATGATCTCAATTACAAGACGGTGTTTTTATTAATGGACGCGCTCGTTCATTCGGTTACAGGTCGTTCCGACAGTGAATTTCTCATTGTGGAGGGAAGCGATCGACCCAGAAGACATCGGCATGTTACGATCTCACCGAGCAAACATCACGACACCAATGGAAGTGGTACGTGTGTATATTTATAAAAGAAGTAATGAAAAGAATAGATAAATATCTGATACATCATATGATATAAAAGAGAAGCGATAGATATCTCTCTGACCGTACATTTTTTTAAAGCTTCAGTTTGTTATCATTTTGTAATTATAATGTCAATCTTCATACAATATCGAAAAGGCAATAAATAAATATTTTATGATATATTTTTTTAAAACTTCAGTTAATTATCGTTCTGTAATTATAATGTCAATGTTCATACAATATCAAAAAGGCAATAAATAAATATTTGATAGCCTATTTCTTTAAAATTTCAGTTGATTATCGTTCTGTAATTATAATGTCAATATTCATACAATATCAAAAGGATAATAAATCAATATCTATCGATGCATTTTTCAATCTTCAGTTGATCATTGTTCTGTAATTATAATGTCAATATCATACGGTGTCAAAAAGACAATAAATAAATATTTGACGGTGTGTTTTATTTAACTAGTTGATTATTGTTCTATATAGTGCGACAAATAATTTTTAAGACTAGCGCCATATCTCAGCAATTAATGGCACCATCTGTTGAACATTAGTATCATTAGAAATATACATTTTTCTTCTTTCTAACGCACCCAAGTTTATGCCAATCGGATGACAAATGACAAAGTTATGATAGTTCTTTCTAAACAAGTTTTAAGTCGATGTTGAAATTTTATCATGGAATAAAGAGCGGTCATTAAATTTAACGCAAAACTTGGTGAAAGTGCATCAGAAACATTCCGGTTGATGCAGCAATATCTGCTCACTGTAATATATTTCATATTAAATATTTAACATTAAGTAACTATTACTAAATTATTTAATTGATGTTACTGTGAATGCAATTACTTCATACTTTCGATCTATTAAATATTTGGTAATTATTATCATATTCAGTATTAGTTACTAAGGATTCAATGAATTTCTGTAACTAAATGCAGCTTGTTATAGTTACCAGTCTTTTCTCTCAATGTATAATTGTAATATTAATATCATATGCAATTTAAGAAACGAAACGGACAAATATAACTGTACATTTTTTCGAGCTTCAATTAATAATTGTAATATTTAAGAATGATAGAGTCTGTGAAAATTGATCGAGAACATTTTTGAATATCTGCTCACAGACCACGTGACAAAAATCGAAGTGGTGCTCGAGGAAGCACCGAATGCTGTCATTGTCGGGTCTATGTCATCGGAATTGGAACCCACCACCGAACTCAATTCCACGTTTCCCGATGGTAAGTCTAATGGTTTCATATTGTCTCGGAAACCGTAATCCTCGTTACTCCCGTCGGGTTTCACAATAGCCTCCCCGTTCAATCTGGTAAAGTACAGGATATGAAATGCCGAGAAAGATATGCGAATAAAAACGGTCCCGACCTGCAAAACACCACTCGTTTCTCATCGTACTTAAAACCAGATGAGGTAAATTTATTTCGCCAATCCATCGCCATCCGGCATAAAACTGGAGAAATAAGTTTGTCCGTGTCTCTCGACCAGAAGCATCTCGAAAAGTCGCGTTAAAATAAAGTCACATTTGTCACGCGCGGGTATCCGTTCTCGCGAGCGTTTACTCGCGTTTTCGCTCGATAAGAAGTTCTGTGAGAAAAAGAAAAAAAAATGGGAAGAACCACCTCCGCGGAGAAATATGGCCAAAAGTCCGATGAGTTCTCTGAAACATTGATCACACTTTCTTATGTTACTTTCGATATCGAAGAATCCCGCGAGGATAGGAAGATCCATTCGCACGTCGTGAATTTTTGATGTTGCTCCTCGTCATCATCCTGTTTCTATCGCGGCGAGCAGACACACGGAGAGAATATTATATACAGTTTTTTTCTTTTCATATAAATTCTTTCTTATTTCACTGTGTTTCCAGTAGTGCAGCAACAGATTGATAGAATATTATATACAGGAGAGAATATTATATACAGTTTTTTTCTTTTCATATAAATTCTTTCTTATTTCACTGTGTTTCCAGTAGTGCAGCAACAGATTGATAGAATATTATATACAGGAGAGAATATTATATACAGTTTTTTTCTTTTCATATAAATTCTTTCTTATTTCACTGTGTTTCCAGTAGTGCAGCAACAGATTGATAGAATATTATATACAGGAGAGAATATTATATACAGTTTTTTTCTTTTCATATAAATTCTTTCTTATTTCACTGTGTTTCCAGTAGTGCAGCAACAGATTGATAGAATATTATATACAGGAGAGAATATTATATACAGTTTTTTTCTTTTCATATAAATTCTTTCTTATTTCACTGTGTTTCCAGTAGTGCAGCAGATTGTAAGTAAAGTTAACTTTTTCTAAGGATCATAGTACATTTCAAATTGATTGGTAAGTCAAGGGCTTTTAAGGGGACTGGAGGGTTAGATTGCCTGAAAATCGTGCTTGTTTTTTTACAATTTTTTATGACAAGCTGAATGAATATACGAAAGTGTTATTTTGACGTGTATTTATACAACATATAAAGAGAAGAAAAATATAATTTTGATGATCAAATACTCAATATAAGTGTATATGGTACATGTAGTTAAAATATATTTCTTTTTTCTTTTCAAGGTTGTTATTTTGCAATAACATCTTGACTCTCAGTGGTTCAATTAAGCTGAATTTTAGGTAGAAAATTTCCGTAAGCTTGTCGTTATTATGTGAACCACAATAATAGAAATTGAATAAAAGTTAACAAAATTGCAAATATCTTAATGGAATATTATTAAATTTTCAGTTCTTTTATAGTGGAAAAATTAATATTTTAAAATTAAATATTTTCACGTTTTGTCAGTGGTTCACACGATAACGACAAGCTTACGGACATTTTCTACCTAAAATTCAACTTAATTGAACCACCGAGAGTCAAGATATTACTGCAAAATGACGACCTTAAAAAAAAAACGAAATATATTTTAACTGCATGTACCATACACTTATATTGAATACTTGATCATCAAAATTATATTTTTCTTCTCTTTATATGTTGTATAAATATACGTCAGAATAACACTTTTGCATATTCATTCAGTAATAAAAAATGGTGAAAGGACAAGCACGATTTTCAGGCAATCTGACCCTCCAGACCCTTAAGGCTCTATATACGGATGTTGCAGTGCAGCAAAATTAAATTAAACCTGATGAAATATTTTTAAAGTTAAAAAGTCTAAAATTCTAAGTCTAAAAGTCTAAAGAACAAGATATCTTCCTGTTTCACATAGACTACATACAAAACCGATTTTTCTACTTTATGATCAGCCTTTTTTATTTCTTCTGGCGATTGCTGTTTAAAGCTGTCAATGTGTTTTGCATTTCGAAATTCTGAAAATATCTTCATTTGTTGACCAATATTAATATTTATTATTGATTGATGTTCAATAATGTCCATAATTTGTAAAATTAAATAAAATCTTTCATTAAAAATAAACTATACAGCTATACATATATAGCTAAACAATTTTAATTGTATCTTTACTATGATATATATGTTTAGGAGTATAGGTCTAAATTAATTCAGACTTGTTATTATTTTGAGTAAATGTTATTCTCTTTCTAAGAAGAAATTGAATTAATTATATTTTGCTCGACCTAGACATGCTACTGTAGAAATATATTTTTGAAATAACATAATGTTATAAATTATGCGATAAAAATTGATTTTTTTACCCTTTTAAATAAGAAAACCCTCTTAAGTTTATTCTGCACAATTTATAGAATCTCAACACTTTTTCTATTGGCGATGCCGGTTGGTAAAGTATTAATCTGAAGCTTTGACAGTAGAATCTTCTTTTATAAGAATTATAATAAATTTCGCTAGAAATGTAGCAAATTTTTCAATAGCACATTTCAGTGTCTGAAATATGAACAGCATGAATGAAATGGGAGGAAAATAAATTACTGCAGAGTGTCGATCTGTTACAGAATCCCACAGTAATATCTGCTGTCAAATTCTCTCCGTGTGCAAATGACGCATGAGATAATCCGCATCTGTCGATGCATGTTTACCTGTGTCGTCCTTTTTTCTACCGCGCACTGACGATTCATCGAAATTAATGAGTCGAGCGTTACACTGACTCAGAAATTATTTAATGTACCGCATGGCCCCCGTGAAAACCTCGCGGTTTCGCCGAATACTAAATAACGTATCCGTGGCGAACGCGCGTAATGCAAAACAAATAATGTTTCGACGGTAAACGCGCGTAACGCTCTCCGAACAACGTTTCAATGCGAGTAGCGCGTTACATACACAAATTTAAATAATTTATTATCGCGGGGGTCGCGCGCTGGAAGCGCACATTTTCCGACTGCCGCAGTTTTCGCTAACTGCGACGGACATTAACGTGCTGTAGTTTAAGCTCGTTTCACACAGCCGCCTATTCCGATTACGTACGCGCGGCTATGTACGAGGTCTGTCCGGAAAGTATCCGAGCTTACACTATATGAGGAGAAAGAGCTACTCTGAATCAATGTCGATTATGTTTCCTTCAAGTATTCTCTTTTGGAAGCCACAACGCTGCTCCCACTTCCCGAAGCAGTCCTGGAACTCAGCTTTTGAAATATCCAACAGCTGCCACTATGTTTTATATTCTCCACATCATTAAATCTCTTTTCTTTTAAGGGGTTTGCAAACAGCCAGAAGTCACACTGTATCAGGACTGTACGGACTTGGGGTATGCCGTGTTTCGAATTTTCGGAGAACAAATTTTGCAACCATTCATTCCCAAATCTTGGATTAAAATTTTTTTAATAAGAAACAATAATTAGTACGAAACAATAATTTAGTAAGAAACAATGGTTCTTAGGACTCCAGGATCTTCATTTTACTCTCTCACAGTCAAACGATGATTTTCATTGATTGCAATTCGCACACATTCCACATTTTCGGGTGTTCTGGCCGTTACAGGCCTGCCAGAACGAGAATCACTTTCCAATGAAGCGCGGCCACCTTTAAATCGTCTAAACCACTCCTTGATTTGTGTTTTACTTATAAATTTATACCTATAAGTGTTCACTGAGAGAAATTATTTAATAAGAAATTAACAAACAGATATCAAAATACCGATGAATTTTTGCATCCGATCAGGAAATATCCGATGAGAAATATCGATTCATAATTTTTTGATCGGTTTATCTGATGAAATATCATTATAGTCTGAAGTATTCGATTAAATTTAATCGGATATTCTGATCGGATATAAAAATTTACTAGTATTTTGATCGGTAATGACTGCTTGTTTTTTATCGAATAATTTCCTTCAATGTTACGTATCATACTGATTATTTCAGAATACGAATGACTAAGTTTTTGACTAAATTTTATTGATTGCAATTCGCACACATTCCACATTTTCGGGTGTTCTGGCCGTTACAGGCCTGCCAGAACGAGAATCACAAATTCGTTGCGCTCGATTATTGTAGAGAAATACGACGCTCACGATTTTGGACACTTACACAACTGCATATCGTTGTCGACTGGGCCATGCCACTTGATAGGAACACTCGCAAAGGTTCTTCCTAAATAAAGAATATTCGTTTTCTACAATAGTAAATCCAGGTATAGAGCTATTGGCGTAGGTCAGATACCTTCCGGATAGACCTCGTATGGCTGTTTGTCAACATTTGTTAACACTGTTAACACTGTTAACACTGTTTGTTAACATTTGTCAGATCTACAACGTTGCCAGCCGTCGCAAAGGCTCGATGAGAAATTGCCGGTTGCGGGAGACCAATCGCGTAATCGCCCACTCGAATTGCAAATGCGCCAAGTGATAAATTTCACCGACTTAGGGAAATCGCGCGAACGACGCTATGCGTACGATGACGCATGGCGAAAGGAGAAGATACTGCGACGAGGAACTCTCATGGAGTCGTTTCTTTATTTTACTGTTCTTTTTTCCAACTCGGCGAGTTACTTTAATTAAATCCTAAGTTCTCGCAAACTTGAGAACGTGTGAAAAATCTCATCCCGCTCGGGATGACGCGGACGGAAAAAATTTAAAGTACACCCACTCAAGAGAGATATTCATCCAAAACTTGTAGGCAAAAGTAAGACGAAATTTTAATTACTTTGCATTACTCCGTGAAAAATGCATCGTACCAGTATCTTTTATTTTTTTCCTTTATTTTCAAGCATAAAGTGTTTATTATAAAAAGCTATTGTTGGATTTTTTGTAACATCCTTAAGAGTAAGGACATGATTTTTATAGTAAAAATTGTGTACTTTAGTGGGATCTATGGAACTAGTAAAATGTTTTCCTTCTGAATTTTATTTATAGGATCATAAAGATCGATTTTTCCCTTCAAATTAAAAAAAAAAAAGAAATACGTACGATTTCTTTTCGCAAATACATCCCACACTTCCGTACATTTTCCGTACATTTTCATCGTCTACCGCCGGCATTTCAGCATTTCAATCCAACTATGGCTTCTTACAGCACTTTACTTTTGAAATTAAAAAAAAGGAAAAGATATTCATACGATGCTTTTCCACGAGAGAAAGAGAGAGAGAGAGAGAGAGAGAGAGAGAGAGAGAGAGAGAGAGAGAGAGAGAAATAATGTATATTTTTTCACAAATTTCACATATTTTTGCCTAACTTTTTATTACCATATTTCTTTTGAGCGGCGGAGATGTGTACAAATTATGTGCAGAATTTTATCGCGCCGTATCTCTCCTGCATGTACAGCGCGGATGCCGGGGACAAGTATGCGGGTATTGTGCCGTGCACGGAATCTCCCCTTTCGTTCTGATTTTCTACGTGATAGCTCGCGACGTGGAGTTCCCTGCTCTCCTCGGAAGGGTCGATCCGGTTGGGACGAGCTAGGTATCAATTTATCAGTTCGATCGTCTGCCATGCGAACGTACTACCTACGGAGCGTCGTTAGTGGCATTGTAGAGTCGCCAACAAAGCTTCACGTATGACCGAACATCGAACAGTGCGCCATTACCAAGCTCGTTCCCCGGACGCGTTTTCTTCGCGGTTAGCACCGTGAGCCCGCAGCGTTGACCCAATTATAATCGTAATTAGTTCCGCTGGACAAAGGGACGAACACGTGTGGGAATTTTGGATTATACGTTAATGCTGTCGTCTCTTCAATTTTAACCTGCCATATGCGGGTTCCGATACGTTAAGCTCCATTGAAGCGAATTCTAGTTGCCGCAAACTTCTCTCTCGTTTGAGCAGTTCCAAGTACTTTTAGTGATTTAGAGTTTAATCGACTTTCTTTATTAATTTTCTATTCTCCCTCCCTCCGTTAGAAATCCTTCAACGAATAAGAATCACATTTACTGATTTTATGTTAAGATAAAGTAAATTAATTCTTCCCTTAAATTTATCTGAATTACGATAACGTACTAAGGATTAAAATCGAGTTTTAACTCTTTGAAGTTCTATCTCGATTTTAAAAAGAAACTTCTTATATATGTTAATACGCCATTTGATATGGATATTACTGCAAACGTGTTTATTACATTCATTAAATGCTAAAATATCAAAGTAAATGCAAATTACACGGTAAGGTAAACTACAAAATTATTGGCATTTTCTTATAGTCACTCCAGGAAAACTTAATTTTTCTTGCAGCTAGTAACAGGATGTGCGAAATTAGCATCTTAACTTTTAAATTCGATAGTTTTTATTAGAGTTTCGGTGGCTGCTTTGGATAGAAAACTCTCGTAGAGTTCTAAAGGAGATTATAATGGTCGAAGACGTTTCAACTAGTAATTAAGAAGTTACTTGACGTCAAAGGTCTGATTTCAGTTGTGCAATTTTCAATGGGAACTTTTAAATAATTCTGAAAATTTAATATTTTTTTTATATATCAGGAACTCTCTTTCTCTTCCTCTCTCTTAAGAACTTGAGAGAAATCAAATAAGCCTCTCAGAATTATTTAGGTTTAATATTTTACTTTTTTTCAGTTTTGTTAATATTTTGAAGAATATCAAACAAATTTTTCTTCTATCAAAAGCTTCAATATTTATTAGACGACATTAAATGAGTCATTCATAACTATTTAGTCGTGATGTTGAGTGTAAAGTTGACATATTTTTCAATAGTTATTTTTGTAGTATTAATCACCGGAATTCTCATAATAAACATAAAAACACTTTTATTTTTACATTCTTTAAAAGAAAGCTGGATCTCTAATCAGAACTATTGAATTTTAAAATCAGAGTGTTAACTTCACACTTTCCCAGCGGCATTTCCTCACAATTTTTATTGTAAATATCTTTTTTGCAATTACAGAGTGCAAGCAAAAAGTTTAATTGCAACACTAATCGCATGAAACATTTTTTTAGAGATTAAGAGTGATAATTGTGTGGTTTTATCGCGAAATAACCGAATTTTCCTACAGATTAGTTAGAAAGAGACGTCTTAAATTGTTTAGACTGTGAAGCGTTAAAGCCAATTCAATATTCATGTTAATCAATCTCGTACAAATTTCTGTTTTTTAATAAAATATAACTTATATAAATATAATCAAATATATTTAATAAAATATAACTTCCGTTATTTAATAAAATATAACTTATATAAATATAATCAAATATATTTAATAAAATATAACTTCCGTTATTTAATAAAATATAACTTATATAAATATAATCAAATATATTTAATAAAATATAACTTCCGTTATTTAATAAAATATAACTTATATAAATATAATCAAATATATTTAATAAAATATAACTTCATCCTTGGCGAAATCCTCTTATATATGCCTTCAAAAGACTTCTTTTAAAATTAAAAAGAAAATATTCTACGCACAATAAGTACAATATTTTTAAAGTTAGAAGAATTTTGTTTTTTATCCACAAGACAAGTCTTACTTATCATATCTTTCACTATATCACACATAAAAGAGCATTCTGATTTCACTAAACTATTCTTCTCGATTTAAAAGAAAGACAAGTTGGAATAATATTTAGTAGATTTCCGATTAATAAAGTCCATCAAGTTCATCAGAAGAGAACTCATTTTTTCGGTAAAAGCTTTTGTTTAGAATTAATTAAAATAAAAGGAGCTGCAGTTCTTTTTATTTTAAGTGTGATAATATGTTTCTTTTGATTTTAGATAAATCCTCTTGAGATTTATCTCCTATTTTAGATAAATCCTCTTGAGACCAGGGAAAAAAATTTGGTTGGATTAAATATCTGATGAAATATAAGCAAATGAGTATTCTGGTAACTTCAACCGAAATTCTGGTTATTTCAACCAAATTTGATTACTTTCCGTATATGTAAGAAGTTTCCGTTAAGGAGGAGATTATATATTAGATGTTTTACAAAATTAATTAGCATTCTGCAATCTTATCGATGAGATTTCTACACGTCCGTCGCTTCGTTTCCGTAAATATAAAAACACATACGACTTTGATCAGGGATTCCAGGAACAGGTGCGGTAGTGGTCCGTGCTGAGGAGGCTCTGATTGTCATGCTCGTGTTGGTACTGTGGGTGGCTGCTATTGCCTTGTTCTTCAATCGATGGGGCAAGATCCGCATGCTCGAGCCATACCAACCGAAATTTCAACAACAACACCGACAACAAAGCTGCAGCCTGGTCGACCCGAATCAGCTTCAGGTAAGCCTCAGTTTACGTTTACTCGCGCTTTCTCCCTCTCTTCCTCTGACTCGTCGTAATTGATTAGCGTGCAGAATGTTCGCATAGTCGTACATGCTGCGGAGTAATGCGGCATGTTGCCGGATTAGCATAATCCGCGTGATTTGTGCGTCCGCGAGGCCTTTGGTTTCGCATCCGCCGTTATGTACGAGAGCGAGCAATCGTGATGTCGCGTGATTTCAAGTCATGATTGATACATTGCGATACATAGATAGTATCTACTGTTGAAATAAATCATGATTGGTTTATCTTGAGTACCAAAAAGTATAAATCGTGAAAACGCAACGATCGATCTTCGTCGAGAGGAGTCAGCATTCGAAAGATACTAATTAGTTTGTTTAGCGATAAGCACTGTTTGTTTCTCTAACACACATAATTCATTCTCAATTAGAAATTTATCTCATGGTCCGGATCAGCTTGACCTAAATTAGTTATCTAGTTTATATAACGTGATGTTATCGGATCCGGATAAATCACGTAATGCAGCGTGGCAATTAAGATCTTATTAATATTGATTATTAATAATTAGAGCTCCGATAATAACTTTATATTATGCATAGAGAGAATATTACATAAAAACATGATCTTATCCTTAGTGGAATCTTACTAATTTATATATGGTCTTTTCTGAAAAAGGCTTTTCCTAAACCAAAAGGAAAGTATTTTACACTCAAAGAAAGAAGAGGTACTATTTCAAGGTACTTGCAAGATACTATTTTCTTGTAATATTATACTCTAAGCGAGAACTCTTATCGGAAAATTTCTCTTCTAGTGAAATGACTCTATTAAAATACTATTCTAGCTTTTTGCTCTCTTTTGAATCAAGAGGGATATATTTTACTTGAGACACTTTACTTGATTTACTTGAGACACAATAGCCTCTTACTGGAAGAAATTTTTTATTAAGAGCAAAATTTCGACTGTAGGTAAAAGATGAAATTTCTCTAACTTTAAAAATATTGTGCTTAAAATAGTTGTCTTTGTTTTAAAAGAATGTTTTTGAGGCTATATATTTAAGAGAATATAAGAGAATTCCACTAAGGATGAGATTATATATTTTTGACTGCGTGTATAGAAAAAGAGAGCATTTTTGTGTTGGAAACATCTTTATTCTTGACATGTAAATTTTAAAATGAGATTATGTAGCATTAAACGATAAGTTACTTGCATCAATACGTTTTATATGATTTAACGAAGAAAAATATACATTTATTATTAAAAATAATTTTTATGAATAAATGCACAAAATGTTAGATTGAAAATATGATGTTTTTAAATGTCAAAAAAGAAGATATTATTATTATCAAAATAATCATATTGCATTTCTTATAAAGTTATTATAATATTCAAATAAAATTATAATGTTATAATTGAAGACTTAAAAAAATTCTAACAAAATTATATATTGTTATTTATACAAGGTATCCGACAAAACTTCGGCTAAACGTTAACATTATATTCTAGAAGATAAAAACAAACAAAAAAAAAGTTTAATAAACACAGGACAGAGAACTTACCATTAACGAAGTATGTATTCATTTCAAGATGCTTAAAATTGTTTTTCAAAAAAATATGTCAATAAAGATAAAGTTGCCACTGAAATACTTCTACTGAAATACGTACTGAGAAAGACTTTAGTCGCCCTTTTGAAACAATGTGATATACGACCTATAAAGTTCGTTTACGCGAATGTGTGCCAGTTGTGTCCCAAGTGTCCGTATTGTATTCGCTTTTCGGTCGAACTTTGCCATGGCGAAAAGATTAAGAAGTGATATTCGACTTAAGTCATTGGTAACACATTTATCATAATTATTCTCTTTTCTTTTACTTTATGTGAGTTTGATGTTAATTTATTTATAATTATGTTAGATTATGTATCCACAAGTTTAAATTAGCGTCACTCGTTAATGGTTGATTTCCTAGTCCACATTTATTAAATATATTTATTTTTTTTCATCTCTAGAACATAATGTTAACGTTTGGATGAGCTATGCATGTTAATGTTTTTGGAACATGAATATCAAATAAACATTATTAATTTGAATGTTATTTTTGAAAATAAACTACTAATAAATAAATGAAATAAACTACTTATTAACTACTTATTTACTAATTATTAATTAATTTTTAAGTAATTATTTCCTATGTAGCTGTTTTCATATAAACTTTTTTTATATAAATTTTTTCCTATTTTACTCTGTTTAATAGTGTTGGAGTAGACTGTAAGGTTTGTTTTAAGAAACATATTAAATTTCTCTAGAAACAGCAAATTTTTTTAGTAGCATATTTCAGTTTCTAAAATATAAAGACAGCACAAATATAAAATGTAAGAGTAGTAAATTACTGCAGAACGTCGATCTCGTTACTGTTTCTCAGTTACAAAATTTTAATTTTCACTACAAAATTTCCTGCGTGCAGATTAATATATATATTCAATAAATATAACCAGTATAAATAACTGATCGAGATTATCCTGATCAGGATCATGGAATAAATTTTTAATCGGCTTTTTCATACTCGACACCAGGCGATCAACGGCTTATGCGCGATTTTGCGCGACATATCGATGTCGATAGACGCATTCATAATTAAATCGGGATTTCCCCGCGTGATTCACCACGTGCTCGAATTCTGCGAATGCGAATCTCAATTAGTAGGAGATTAAATTTCCTACAGAGAACACACTCGTCGTATATTCTGGCGGCAACTCGCCAGATTATTCACTCCCTGATTATTTCTCATTTAATTACCAAAATAACGGTGGCCGTTACATACTGCCGCCTTGCCGGAGGGAGAACTCGGCACAGTACGGTGCGTTAAATCAACCAACCAACCAACCAACCAACCGTCAAAGGAGATTCGCAAGCTCGAGAGACTGTAATAAGCACCGCAAACCCACCCAAGGTATACACACCCGAGACGGTCTCGTGTCTTATGTATAGAATGTTCTGTGCGCGCGGAACGTAAACTGTGAACATTTCAAGTAGGATAGTCTTACTTGATGAATATAATAATATCTTAATAAATCTCGGTGAATTGAGACAAATTTATACTTTATTACTTTTATACAAATTGATACTTTATTATATAATGTCATTATATGATATAAAGTATGAATGAAATTTTTCTTAATTTACTAACTGATTTGAACAAATATGTTTCAATTTAATTGATAATTGACGATTGCTTCGAGCAAAATCAATCGAGGAATGTTTTGTTGACGATTGATTTCAATAAACTCAATTAAAAGCCGTTTAATTGACGATTGATATACGCGAAGGGAATCAAAAATCAAAAGATCACTCAATTAACAGTTGAATTTATTGAATTTAATTAAAGGCTATTTCATTGATGACTAAATGTAGCAAATTTAAAGGCCGTTTAATTGACGATCGATATGAGCAAATTCGATCGATTCAAACGAACAACAATTCGATTATTCAAGGTTACAATTGGTTTTGTAGACAATATCCATATCTAGGTCATCGTGGCATTGTGCCGATGCCGATGATTGAGATGTGTTAAGCAGGACCCGCGTTGAGGAAGGCATTGGTCATGTCAATCGTCATCAAATATTCTAGAAGTGAAAACAAACAAAAGATATTTAATAATGAGTTCGAAAACCATTAACGAGTTACGCTAATTTAAACTTGTGAATACATAACCCAACATTTTTGTTGGTTGCAAGTTGCAAATAAATTAACATCAAACTCACGTAAAGTGAAAGAAAAGAGAATAATTATGATAAATTTTCAATTAAATTTGTTCATATCAATCCTCAATTAAATAATAAAGTTTAATTGTTAATAAAACAGTCTTTAATTAAATTTGCTAAGTTCAATTATCAATTGAACGCTCACATAAACTGTCAATTAAGTGATCTTTAGTCGAATTTGTTGAAATCAATCATTGATTGAGTAGTCTTCGATTGAGTTTGTTAAAATCAATGGTCAACTAAACGATCTCCAATTAAGTGAGCTCATATTAATCGTCAATTAAATATGATCAATTAAAAAAATAATTAATTACTTGCAATATTAATTTCAAGAAATAACACTATCGTGAAACTTTTAATATAACTTTTGGTGCAAAAGGAATACTGCGCGATCGCACGATCATTCGCGATTGATCGTTCTTAAGATCGTAGCCAAGATATCGCCTCTCCCTTTCCCGCTATGATTTAAACGCGCACGCACCACGTCAGCCGTATATCCATGCGTAAACAAACTTTGGACGGTGGTATTACCATGAGCCTACGCGCGAGAAATATATTTTCCATGCATACATGGAGCAAGTCACGTAGACGATAAACTTCTCGGTCAGCTCCTCCGCGCCGGATTTTGCCCATACGCGCATAAATTCACTCGTATCCTTCATCGCGGCTTTACGATGATCCTATAGCTGCTGCTGTTTAGGCGATCGTGCCATTTTTCTGAATTGAGTGCACGTTCAGTAAGTCAAATCTGTCGATATTCCCCATTCATGTTATTCCGCGCGCGCGCGTATCCGCGTACTTTGTGAGTTCCCAAATCTCGCCATATCCTGCGAACTGCCAAATGCATTACCATAACGTCATTCGTTATTTATGGCGACGAGCACGAAATATAAGCGGAGATTTAAAGCACTGCGTTCGATTGTTCTGGGCACGTGTTCCTTTGGAATACGTTGATTCCGCGTGATGGCGCACGCGGAAATTTTTTTTGATAGTATTCAAGTATACTCAGTAAACATTAACTGAACAAGTATTATAGTACTCTTGCACGGCTAAGATGTATTTATAATGTAGAAAAAATCTTAACAAAGTATGCACTTTGAGAAAAAACATATTTGAAAGTTTATTTGAAGGATATAAAGTTTATCTTTACATAGAAATTAATTTTATCTAAAAAAATAAACTTTATTTTATAGAAATAAACAGAAATAAACAGAAATAAATACAAAAATAAAATTTCAAATACTTT